AAAATAAGTGAAGACTGAAAACATTTACGTCCATATAAATCAGGATTCCCACTTTAATGGTGCGAGAGGGAAATTTTAAGACCAATTTCCACAAAAGAAAATCTTGAAAATGAAAGCTAAAAACCTGTGAGAAGACATAAGACCTCTATAACAAGGCCTTGAATTCAATGGTTGTAAAAGACTTCAGGGCTTCTAACACTGTAGGAGACCAAGAAGGGATACAGTCAAATAAATGAGGCGGTGACAGCAGGAGAAAAGGGAGACAAAAAGAGGGAAAGGCTACGAGTGTGAAAGAACTGGTGAGCGGAAAAGTAAAGAAAGGGAGGACAGGAGGGAAGTGAATGGATCGAGAGAGCAGAGGTGTGCTCTGTATAGAAAAATGGACGTATCCAGCTGTCCCGTCCTACCCAAAAACCCTTCAAACAAACAACTACAATCAGGGCTGACCACTGTAGCATCCCCAGGCTGCTTTTATTCCCTCTCATTCATTCATTCATTCATCCATTTTTCCTCTCCTCCGGTGCTTTAAGCCTACCAATTATCATCAGTTGCCCCCAGACGGCCTCTGTCCTTGTTCCTGTTTCAGCTGGCTTTTCAAACAGCTCTGCATTAATAAGCCAGTTGTTACAAATAAAAAGGGAGGTGAGCGGTGATTATTCAAAGCCCTGCTAAGAGACAGAAAGAAAGAGAGCGCGAGCGAGAGCCCATGTTTTACACCTAGGGTGAGTAAATGCGATTTATATGAATTGGTATGAAGAGTGATAAAAAATAACAATAAAGGAGAAGAAGGCTGCGATAGACCTGGGAATGAAAAAGCATTCCTGCTAAATACTGAAAAACATCTGGTGATCCTGACAGAAGAGTTAGAATCATCACAGAAGACATCATCTACGGTGCAGCTAAAGAAAATAAATTACTATGAACACCAGCTTGGGAAAAAATAAGAATGAATGATGAACATGTAGCTATATGAAGGTCAGGAGAAAGCTACAAGCAAACAGTTAATCCGAGCCGGACATCTGCAGCTCACAGCCTACATGATGAACATGCAGTTTTAAGCCACTTAAAAAAAAATATTGCATTTTGTAGTTTTGAAACCATCAGCTAATACCAGCTGGCATAATAAGGTGCATTTATAGGCATCCATACAGATACCTAGAAGACAGTGCTAACATACATCTGCAACAGTGTTAAACTATTTATACAAAACAATCAAAAACAAGAACAAAAGGTTTTTCGAGCCATCCTAATGGATCTTTTTCATATGAATGTCCTGCAAATAACGTAACAACAAGCCCTTTTCTACCTGACCCACTGTTCATATTTTATTCAGTAATAAGTGCGCCATTTAAAATTAGTTACATCCCTGTATTATATCATTTTATTCTCTAATGAGCATATATTGGGTCAGAGGGCATCATATGCATTTTCAACTTCAAGAGCCCCAGCTGACCGTGTACCCTTCTTGCCTCTTCTGTTTACATTAAAGCCGGGTCCAGTCGAGTTTCCTGAGAACTGCAATAATCAGTCACACTTTGTTGATGAGAAGACTAAACAAGCAGACCGTGAATAAGAACAAGGCTGAAAGCAGGCCAATGGGGGTGAAAGGGTGAAGGGAAGATATTTCTGTATACCTACAATAATGTCTTGGGAGCAAATTAGGCAAAGTTACTTGTAATTGTAGAGATTGTTGTTGGGACTGAAGAGGAAAATGTGCAAAAAGCCTAATTAAACAAGAAATAAAAATAAAGAAAATCACAACTAACAGTTACGAAGAACATTGTCACTAAATCAACTTATCCAGCAATTTGAACGTGTGTGTGTGTGTGTGTGTGTGTACATGCAAGAAAATGTTTATGAACTAAGATTAATGAGACTGGCAGACTATACATATTATTTTAATTTAAGCTAATTGTTTTAACTCTGAGTGTGTTCTCAGTGCTGCTGTACATTTCCAACATGGCTGAATATCAGAGCACTAAAACTTTAAACTGGATACATTAACTTTTTATTTCCTGTATCGTAATTAGAGGTGAAATCACCAAATTAATATACACTTTCCTGTGCTTTGCATCATCACAGGAAAGTGTATATTAATTTGGTGATTTCACCTCTAATTACGATACAGGAAATAAAAATTTAATGTATCCAGCTTAAGAGCTAGCTCATATGTTCCCCAGAAAATAATTTATTTTTAAAACACATGCCGTAAATACAAAAATGTGGCACTCCAGATGGCTTAACACCAAAACTCTGCACATAACCTGCTCCAGACCAGGTTATGTGTTTAGCCTAAGTTGCCACAGTGATTTAACCAGGTAAAATAAAGAGCCACTTTGAAGACACAGAAAACTCAGCCTTCAGGATGGTAATTTTCTTCAACTTGTCTGTGTTTGTAAAAACCACTCACCTGCACACCTGAAGCTCTGAGCAGTGAGCCCCTTCTCCACAGCCAGACAGGTGAGAATACTGAGGAAACTGGTGGTGACCGACTGTCGCTTTGCTCTCTGTGCGTCCCTTTGCCTCCTGTCCCTGGATGGATTTGATCTCAATAGCACCCCTTGGAGACCAGGAGGTCCTACTCCTGGTTCTGTCCCTTCTTGTGCAGGCCTCTGTGTTCTGACTGCCTCCCGCAAGGTCTCCACCCACTCCTGGGCCTTGAGGTGACCATCAGCACGAAGTTTGAGTACCTCTGTTGGGAAAACAGCCTGAAAAAATTCCCCTTTCCCCGTCCATGGCTCTCCATTCTCTAACTCATGATCATGATGAACAGCAATGCAGGACGCCAGCGAGTACTGGAGAACAGGTTGGGACACAGACCCACGGCCTTCTGTAGGGAAGGCCTGCAGAACAGATCTGGTGAGGACAAAAGTGAAAGCCCGCCAGTTGTTCTGATCCGTCAGCTGGTACAGTAGACCGACTCTGAGAACGTCCTGGCACGACTGCGTGAACAAAGGCAGGGTGGTGGGTCTGCTCAGGACAACAGAATTAGGTGGAAGACAGAGCGATGCCTCTGCTGAAGTCGGGGTGTCGCTTTCGCCATCAGGCCTGGTGTCGAGCCCAGAAGGAGAAGGCGAAGACGAAGGTGACATGGGTGCAGGAAACTTCACAACATGATGATTTTCTACTCCGCTTTTATGCTGACGATTCTCCTGCCTCATGGGTCTGGCTGCCTGCACCTTCTCCCAAATCAGCCGTCTCCACTCCATGGCTTCCCATTGGCTGGCCGCCCTCAGCTGAAGACGTGTGCTGTTGAAGAAGACAGCCTGGATCGTGCGTTGGTCTGCGGGCTGGATGATCTGGCCGGGCTGGCTGCAGGGTGCCGGAGAGATGACGCTCTGGCAGTGTGACAGTGAGTAGGCAGTGCCCAGCTGGCGGTTGGCACTGCTGTCCAGAGCGTACAGGCGGAGCTCGCAAGGCGTCAGCTCAACATGGCAGGGTGTCCAGCGGCCTCGGGGCCCCTCACGCTGCTCCATCTCACACTGCTTCACCACACTGCTACTGCTGCTTTTATCAGCTGGACAGGCACAGAAGAAGAGCAGGGGGAAAAGGTAGAAATGAAACAAATGAATAATATACATGTTCAGAACAAGCAGTTGTTTTAACAAGGGCCTTTCCGTTGGCAATTTACAACCATAACCATCCAAGTTTTAAATGGGGATCAAAAATGTATGTTTTTAACAATCCCCTCACCATCTGAGGCATGTGACTTTAAGAAGTAAACATCAACCTCTATACTTAACATCTGGCTGTCAAGAGTTCCTTCTGTGGGTGTTGGCAGCAGTATTGTTTGCATGGTTCAAGTTTAGCCTTTCATGCACATAAAAAGTTAACATTTTTCATGC